AACTAAATACAAAATACTCCACCACTTCCAAGTTCCAATGAATTTCAGCACTACTCTACAAAATTATCTCACATTCCAAAAAATCATAATGATTTTATAATTTATTAAAATGGGCTGTAATACACCCCAAAGCAGATGCAATATCAAATGCTTTTACAGAAGGCTCTTTGCTAGATTGTATACCTTCTATTCCACTTAAAGCATGCTCAACAAAATCAACATTCACATACCTTATTCCATTGGGTCTAACTCTAGCAACTGAATACAATGGCACCGCAAGTGATGGTGGCAAAGCGATATTATCCATGTCTTCAAAACTCCACTGAGTTGTATTCTTCAAATTTGACCCTTTTATGAGCTCCTAAAGATATATATCAAACTAAATGTCCACCACGGTGCTGAATCTGTTCTAATTGACTCTTTTAAATTCTGCACGACCCTACAAGATGTATAACTGAGACCTTTTTTGTCCCTCCAAAATAACCGGGCACCCTTACAAACCTTCAAAACTCCATCTCCACCTCGACCTCGACCTCTACCTCCACCAAAGAACTTATAACCCTTTGAGTCAAGGATAGACAAAGATATGAGATTCTTTTTTAAATTCGGAACATGTCGAATCTGATTGTACCAATTCCAGCAATCCGACAAAATGCGTTGTTTCCTATAACCACCACACATTTGGAAATTGTTTCATATGTAGCAAACAAGTCCTTATTTAGACACATATGAAATACACAAGCTGAATCAAGAATCCAATCATCTTCTGATTTAGACTTGACATTAGAAATAGCCAAGAGATCTCCACCACTTACAACGTTCTCCGCAAGGCCTGCTTCATCTGAAGTATCTGAATATCTATTTGCAGCCATCTTTTCTTTATTCTGCAATTTATAGAAGTCTTTCTTCAAGTGCCCCTTCTTCTTGCAGTAACTGCTATCTTTTCTTTATTCTGCAATTTGTAACAATCCTTCTTCAAGTGCCCATTTTTCTTACTTTTGTTACAAATTTGATTACTAGACTTCAACTTCTATCTGTCCCTTCTAAAACCATCATGAGCAACCAACCCTCTCCATTTCTAGCCTAAAAAATCAGATGGTTCATCTTTTCTTTTGAAAACAAAGCATCATAAACCTCCTCAATGGTGAGAGTATCACGGCTATATAAGATCATGTCTCTGAATGAAGAAAGAGAAATAGGCAACGAATATAATAGGATAAATGCCAAATCCTCTTCATCATACTTAACTTCCAATGTTTCTCAATCAGCGACGATATCCTTAAATACAGTCAGGTGATCTTTCAATGATCCTCCTTTTGCCATGCGATGAGAGTACAACCGCTGTTTGAGATGGAATTTGCTTGTAAGATTCTTGTCATGCATAATTGCTCCAACTTCAACCACAAAGCAACTGCTGACCTCTCCTTCAAAACGTTTTGAAGAATGGAATTTGATAGATGAAGATGAATGTGAGAAACTGCCTTTTTATCCTTCCGTAATTTCTCTTCCGCGGTCAAAGTTGCTGGCATCCTGTCAATACCCAGCAACGCATCATCTAAATCCAACTGTGCAAGTACTACACGCATCTTAACCTGCCATGCGAAAATTTAGTGATTCGATCCAAATGCGAAAAGTCATATTTCATGGTAGCCATCACGAACAAAAACTTCAAACAAATAAAAAAAATCCTAGCGTTGCGGAACTACTGAACTTGTGCTCTGATACCAATTGTTGCAAAACAATAAAGATACCAGAATAGCTCTGATACCAATTGTTGTGGAACAAATCACCGGAATGAGATATTGAAATTATATGACAAATGATAATGAAGTATTTGTTCAAGTAAAAGAATAAAGAAAACTAGAATATGACAGATAAATTAAGAGATTTTATTGATTCAAAAATAATGGAGAAGAGAGAAAATTACAATGGATCCCATAATTCTAGTAATCAATTTTCTCACACTATTAAAATTCAGTAGAAGGGCCTAGTATTTATAGAGAATAAGTAGGGGATGTTCAATTCCACCTAATATAGTTGTTGATGAAGTAAAATTTCAAAACAAATTTCAACTCCCAATGGACTTCCAAAATAGAATTTCAACATGACATAAGACTCCAATAACATAAAATTGACTCCAAAAGAAATTCCAACTCCCAATGGGCTTCCAAAATAGAATGTCAACATGACATAAGACTCCAATAATATTCCGAATTTGAATTCTTCATGACGTGCACTTAATTAGAATTATTCAATTATTTCAACAAAGAATTCGAGTCTCACCCAAATTCTAACAGCATTTATGCAAGTCATAAAAATAGTAAATAAATCACATATGATATCAAAAATATATTAATGGTCACATGCAAAGCCAATTCAGGCCCGACTAATTCACTATCTCCACGTGGAGTCACGATGCTAATCACAACCGTCCATAGAATTGCATTGGCCGTGAATGCAAAAACAATTGATTCGATTATTGAATTCGCTCACGATTGATCATCAATATCATTCTCCATATATAGGTCTTAGTTTAGGGTTTTGTACTTTCACTTCTGTTCTAGACGTCTCTCAAGTTCTTTGTCTTGCTTTTGTTCTATAGTATGATTTTCGCAAAGGATGATATGAAATTAGTAGCACAGAAAAAAATGGAAACAAAAATAGAGACGTGTGAAATTGGTGGGATTAAGAAAAGATAAGAGGGTCACTACAATAAAAATAACTTTTTACGATATATGATTACGGCGTACAATTGACGCGTGCTGTAAAAATAGACTTTTTACGACGTGCAAAAAATGTGTGCCGTAAATGATCAATTGCATAAAGTATTTACGACGTACATTTTTTGCACGCCGTAAAAATTGATTATTTACGGCGTCCATTTAATGCACGCTGTAAAAAAAAAAAAAACCATTTTTCGTATTATTTACGGCGTGCATAATTGCACGCCGTTCCGATTGAATTCTTTATACTAATTTATAACGCACGTAGTTATAAATTAACATGTAGTCACTAAAAAGAGGGGAGAGGAGGGGGAGCAGAATTTCTCAATAGATTATATGATTGAGTCTAAATGGATTTAACTATAAAGTAAACAATAGTACAAAATTATGCCTTCAAGCTAAAATCTGCTCAGAATATGAACCTTATTGAGAGTTTGAAAGATGAGCTAGGCTCAACTTCTCAAACTGTCAGGATACTTCTACACGACTTCGCCATGTAATAATCAAAACCTCCATAGTTTGGTATTTTTCATGCAGTATAAACATAATAAAAGAAAACTTATTGTAATCAAATTCAACAAGAGTACGTTTGATATAGATTTTTTTGAGAATAGATTTTATGAAAAATGATTTTTTTTTTTGAGAATATATGTTTAAAAAGTAGAAAAAAATCATGAGCAAAATTATTTTATTGAAAAAAAGTGTAATTTAAATTATTTTTGAGGAAAAATGAATTCTAAAAATTGAGGGCCAAACACGAGCGATTTTTTCCCCCCATTTTGCTAAAACCCGTAATAATAAACATTAATTTATAGTTTCAGATTGTCACACGGTTATAAGGGTAAGTAAAAATCTTGAATTCTCCGATGTTGATTATTTTAGAAGCGATTTTATGAAAAGTGTTCCGTTTTTTAGAATACGTGGTTAAAAAATAGGGAAAAAAAAATTAATGTAGAAAATTATTTTATTGAAAGAATATCTGATTTAAAAGTAGGAAAAAATCATGGGTTTACGTACAAAATTATTTTATTAATAAAACGAATGATTAAAAATGAGTGTTTTTTTTTTTTTTTAGTTATTTCTGAATTTCTTTTAAAGGAAAAAATTAAGAGTGATTTTGAAGAGAATAAAGTTACGGCAAACCACATCTATACCACTTATATTTCAAGCCACCACTCACCAATTTACTCAATTAGTTATTAAACTAATCAGCCAAACAATTAAAATACCTAAAAATTGTGTTTCTATTTAAAAAAAACTTTTTTATTTAAATTTTCACAAATTAATGACCCTCCGGTTGAACCAATTTTCCCCTCAGTAATTTGATGATACGACGCTTCAGCGGTCACCAATCGAGTCGGATCAAAAAATTCTGCTATAGAGTATCCAATAATTTATAGGGCTATTTATCTAGTATTTTATTAGGTTTTGTTGAAAGCTCGACCACACTTGATTGATGCCATGCTGAGGTTAAGAGGGCTTAAAGCGTTACAATTTTTTTTATAACAATCGATCATCAGACTCGAAAAGTAATAACGAAAATAATTTATCCAATAATAAATTCGGGCACTACCATGGTTGGAATCAGTGAAGCAACGACGGTTCTAAGAAATAGAAAAATACTAAAAAGTTCAAATTGACGGTTCTTAACATTGATTCAATTGGCGTTGACATAATAGGAATTTCGTCTTCTTGGGCCCGAGTGGTTCGACCTAAGTGAGATGAGACTGGGTCACGTAGCATACGTTATTTACAATTGTATACAACAAAATCAAGGGGCCCTATAACTAGCTTTTGCATGCAAAGTAAAAGAAGTCCTATAATTACAAAAATCTGGAAATATACATTTACTTGAAATTCAACATATTTTTGTTATTGATTGTTGGGTACATGACAAATTGACGTAAAACACATGGGATTGGATTTCTTGGTTTTGAATAGAAGAAAAATAAGAAATTGAAGAGTAAGGGGCAACGTATGTGATGAGTAAAAGGGAGTTTAGAAATGTGTTTTACTTTAATATGTTAAGCAGTTTCTTTAAGTGTTGGGTGGTTGTGAATCTCTTGATTTCTTTTGTTTGACAGTAAAGTTTGGTTCGAATCTGGTAGACTTATTTTCACTTCACCCGTTGATGTTAGGTAAAGCAACAGGACTTGTGTCTATGTAGGGGGTTGGGGTAGGGTGGGGTGGGGGCAATGCCTACCCATAAATTCATGCAGTACAAGTATTCTACAAAATGCCCCGGCATTTTTGGTGTCACAGGTAGCAAATTTGAGAATGGAGGGCATTGAAAATCTTGTTTCGGCTAGAAAATTTTTAAAGGCCAGCTTGGAAAAATCAAGAGATTTAGCTTTTGAAATCAATAAGATTAGTCCAAGATTGGAAAAAGCTAACCAAAGTTTGCCATTTCTTGAAAATTCTATCAAAGATGTGGCATGTAAATGCAGGCTTTACGAGATTAGGAGTCACGTTGATCGTGCAATGGGCCCTGCTGCTGGTGTTTTGAGGATATTGGACGTTGTTTATGAGCTCGAGCATTCACTTGTGGCTGACCCAGATTCTGATTTGTTCACGTATATTGCAACTGTCAAACGCCTAGAAGACGCGCTCAAGCTTCTTACTGATAATTCCGAGCTGGTGATTCTGTGGCTGGACGATTTGGTGCAGTTTTTGAAGAACAGTGATGTTTCTGATGATCATTGGTACCTAATGAATGTGTTGAAGGCATTGGATATACTATGGGAACTGCATTCAATGGGGCAAAACGGTGAGGTTCTACAGGCTGCACTCGACAACCTGGAGAATGAATACAGGCATATTTTGACAGAGTACAGTTTTCCATTTCCATTTCAGTCCTCGCACAAGGGGAAAGCAAGCATATTACCAGTGTCTTTGCCACTTCCTGTCGTTGAGAAGTTGCAAGCCATAATTGAGAAATTAGCTTCCAATAATCGACTTGAAATTTGCGTCTCCATCTATGCACAAGTCCGGAGTTCAAAAATACGAGCAAGTTTACAAGCCCTTGATGTGGATTACTTACATATACAATTATCTGAATTTGACAGCGCGAAAACTGCAGAGAGCTACATGGATTTGTGGGATAAGCACCTCGAATTTGTTGTGAAACATCTGCTCGATAAGGAGTACCATCTTTGCAGTGAAGTCTTTGGGAACTCGGGAAATGATGTCTGGATGCATTGCTTTGCAAAGCTTGCAATACAATCTGGAATCAATGATTTCATCAAATTTGGTGATACAATTACTAAATGTAAGAAGGATGCAATCAAGCTTCTAAAGTTGTTGAAGATTTTTGCAACTCTCAACAAACTGAGATTGGATTTCAACAAGCTTTTCAGTGGGAAATTCTGTGTTAAGATTCAAAACCAGACGAGGGATGTCGTTAAGAAAGTAGTTACTGGCGCATGTGAAATTTTTCGGGAACTTTGCGTCCAAGTTGAGTTGCAAAGGCAATCCTGTCCACCACCCGATGGCAGTGCCCCAAAGCTCGTAAGCTTCGTGACTGGATATTGTAACCAGCTTCTCGAAGATGAGAATAGGTCAGTTCTAATCCAAGTTCTGGAGATATATCAAGTTTGGAACCACGAAAGTTCCGAAGAGGAAGTTCTTTTCAATGAGATTCACAACATAATGAGAGAACTCGAGCTCAACTTGGATTCTTGGGCAAAGGCATACAAGGAAACTGCCCTATCCTGTCTTTTTATGATGAATAATCATTGGTTCTTCTGTAATAACGTCAAAGGAACAAAACTCGGAGATCTGATGGGGGATTCTTGGCTTAGAGCAAATGAAGAATACTTTGAATACTACTCAACAATGTACTTGAGAGAGAGTTGGGAAAAACTTTCAGTGCTATTACAAGAAGAAGGCCTAATCTTGTTCCCAGGGGGCAGAGCCATTGATCGAGAATTGGCGAAGAAGAGAATCAATTCGTTTAATGCGGCCTTCGACGATATGTATAAGAAGCAATCTAATTGGATTTTGTCTGATAAAGGCTTGAGATTGAGAATACGCCAGCTTGTGGTGCAAGCTGTTGTTCCACCTTATAAGAACTACCTGCAAAAATATGCGTACGGGATAGAAAACGAGGTTGGAACAGGCAGCCATTTAAAGTATACTGCTCATAGCTTAGAGGATTTGATCAATTCTTTTTTCCAACAGAAAGAAGGGAAATTTGATGGCACTAAATGCACAGATTTGATTGGAATCAAGAATGCTGTTATCAATCACTTGTCAATGCCTGCTGCTGCATAATTGCACTGTTCTCCAGTCCAAGAATATAATGTATTAACATTGTAATTAGATCTTGAATCCTTAAATTAAGTTAAGAGGAGTCATGTATTGGAAAAAAATTATTTATACTGGTCTAATTTTTATGTACAATGTGATATGATAAAAGAAAATGCATTTATGAAGAAAATTTTCAAATACTGATTTCTCCATGCATCCACCATGGATATTGACTCAGGAAAAAGTTGAGGGTTTAATCGAGTTGAGTCGAGATCTAACTTTTGGAAGTTTAAGATAGTAACTAAACATCAAGATCTTATGATGTCAAGGACATGCTTATCAACACAGCATAAATGTTTAGTTCACTAATTTTGACTTTGTTTTAATATGTAATATGTATCCTGAAACCTAATCAACCATTGTGGTCGATTCATTCGGTTCTCAGCTCATCGAGTTTCACTGAGTTTTTAAGATACGATTTTTAGCCCGATTTCCCAGTTAATACCCAGTATTAGCAGTCAAATTAGCCAATGCATTTTCTTGACAAGTCAATGGCCGTTGATCTGAAATTATTTTGATTCCAAAAGAAAGTTAACTGCGGTTGAATTACTTCAACTACCACGTACTTGTTTTTCAGAAGGAACAAGTAATATGTTAGATTGGAAAAATTAGCTCAAGTCGATTGCAAATTAATAACAGAAAACCGGTCTTTCTTTATTCCACTACTTTTGTTTTATGTACAAGTGCAATGTGCACAAGCCTGTACAAATTAATCCTAAAGGACCTAATTGATCTTCTTACATAGTTTTAGGGCCTCCTCTGTAATAAGAATAGTTCGTTGTTTTTAGTTCGTTTTAATTTTTCCCTCTTTTCCTTCTTCTATAAATTGACCTCCATTGTTGTACTTTGAGTTAGTGAGTAATGAATAAAATTGTTGATTTCGTATACTTGAACATGGTATCAGAGCGGTAGATTCTGGAATTTCAGAACCGCAAGCTACGTATCCATTAAAGGAGGAAGAAGATAAGCTCAGAACTGAGCTGCCATGACTGGGAATCAAAATGTAAATCTGCTTTCTGCAGAACTAAAGAATGACTAGACGATTCAAGGAAATGGAAGGCAGAATGAAATGAATACTTCAGATCCATTGTTTCTTCATAGCTCAGATCATCCAGGAATGACATTGGTTACAACACCTTTAACTGGAAATTTTTTTTTGGAGTGGAGCAGATCTGTAAAAATTGCCCTTGGAGCGAAGATGAAATTATGGCTTATTGATGGTAGTGTTGAAATACTTGAGAAAACTTCACCGAATTATGAAAAATGGCAGAGAGTTAATTATATGATTACTTCGTGGCTATTGAACTCTATCTCCAAAGAGATTATTGAAGCATTTCTATACACCAGCACTGCTAGAGAATTGTGGATGGAGATTGAAGAGAGATTTGGAACTGGTAATGGTCCTATGCTATATCAGATCTAGCGTGAAATCAGTTCTATCTCACAAGGTAATATGTCTATTTCAGAATATTACACAAAATTGAAGAGAATGTAGGATGAATTAACCTTCTTAATGCCTATACCTGAGTACACTTGTGATTTAGCCAAGTCAGTGTCAAAAATAATTTCGCTCAATAGACTTATGCAATTCCTCATGGGATTGAATGATAAATATGAACATGCACGAAACCAAATCTTAGTTATGGATCCTTTGCCACCTGTAAATAATGCCTATTCCATGATCCAAAGAGTTGAAAAATAGAGAGAGATTTAGATATCTTATGGAGAACATAATGAAGTAAGTGCCATGAATGTCAAAGCTCAGGGGTATAAGAAGGCTGGAGGAGGCAGATGATATGGTATAAGGTTTGATATGAGCAAAGAAGAGAAGAGGAATCAATTTTGCACACATTGTAACATCACAGGACATAGCAAAGAATCTTTTTTTAAATTGATTGGATATCCGGACTGGTTCAAATGACTGACTGAACAAAAAAAAAAAAAAGGCTGGAGGAAAATTCACCGCATATATGGCAAACTCACCATTAGAGATGAGAAATGAAGTGAATACTGAAGGAATTGAAGATCAATACAAGATCATGAACATTTCAGAAATTATCAAACAGGAACTCAAGAAGATGGTGAATGAAAAGGGAGCAGGCTCTGGAAGCAATGTAAATTTTGCTCATATAGACGATTTTGCAAGTTATACTCTTAAACTTGAATTTAATTATGCTCTAAGTGCTTCCACCTTAAGAAGATCTAAGTCATGGATTGTAGATACTAGTGCCTCTAACCACATGTGCAATGACATTTCATCATTGAAAAATCCTATACTTGCTAACGAAACCATCCATGTATTCTTACCTGATGGCACTATGAATTTTGTTAAACATTTTGGAAATGTTCATCTACATGATAACCTCATCCTCACAGACACTCTTCATGTTCCTATTTTCATATTCAACCTCTTGTCAGTAAATATGTTAACCAAGGCTTTAAAGTTGAGATTCATTTTCATGAAGGATCATTTCCTTTTGCAGAACCTTTCGACTGAGAAGATACTAGCTGTAGGAAGGTTGATAAAGAACTTATACATACTTGATGAGACCTCCTTCAGTGCATCCACCATTAAGTCTTTCATATCTGTTGCTTGTAATACTTTATCATCAAATAATTCCTCTCTTGTTGACAGTAATAAAACCAAAGTCGAGTTAGTTACTCTTTGGCATAGATGGCTAGGACATGTTTCTGAAAATGTAAAGCAACATTTGCAAATGATGAGTCCTTTCACCTTGTGATCTTTGTTCCTTCTCCAAAGAGCATAGATTATCCTTCATTAGCTGTAATATTAAGACATCTTTTACATTTGAAATTCTACATGTGGACTTGTGGGGACCATATAAACACAGTTCTGTTTGTGGAGCACACTACTTTTTGACAGTGGTAGATGATTTTAGTAGATGCACTTGGACTTTTTTAATCAAACACAAACCATAGGTTCTCACTTTGAAGAATTTACGCAAATTTGTCAAAACTCAATTTGAAAGGAACATAAAATGCTTGAGAATTGATAATGGAACTGAGTTTACAAATTTTGAGTTGCAAAGTTTCTTAGCTGAAAATGACATTTATCATCAAAGGAGTTGTCCATACACGCTTCAACAAAATGAAGTTGTCCATACACGCTTCAATGACTTCTCATCCTAACAACCAAAGAAATGCACAACCTTCTTTTGTTAACTCCCCTGTTATTAATCAACCTATGGCTACTCATCACCTCTGTAAAGAAAAGGTTAGTCAACTAGAAGATTCCATAAACTCCTCTTCAAACTAAATAATTCATGATCAAAACTTTCCTCAAACTAGAAAAAGTACCAGACCAAAATCAGCTCCTACATGGATGTAGGATTTTGTGAGAAACTTGTCGTGCTCATCCTACATTCCTATTTTTGATCACTTTCCCAAGACATCAAAATCCTCTTCTCATATACCAAACACCTATCCTTTTCATAAGTCTCCAAATTTTGAACCAAGCTATTGTCATTTTCTGGCTAACATCTCTACAATCCAAGAACCAAAGTCTTATGAAGAGGCCAACACAAAGACAGAATGGATTCAAGCGATGGAGAGTGAACTTGCAGCTTTGGAACAAAATCAGACCTCGGATATTGTTCTCCTGCCTTAAGGAAAGAGTCCCATTGGATCAAAATGGGTATATAAAGCTAAACTGAAACCAGATGGAAGCCTATACAGATGTAAAGCCAGGCTAGTGGCAAAAGGGTATAATCAGGTGGCTGGGGTTAACTATGTTGATAGTTTTTCCCTTGTGGCAAAATCAGTGACCATCAGAATGTTTTTTGCCATTTCATCTGCACAGAATTGGCCCATATACCAGCTAGATATCAATAATGCCTTCTTGCACAGCTTTATAGAAGAAGAGATTTACTTGTGGCCTCCAGAAGGGTACAAAAAACTTAAGGAATGAGAGATGTGTAAATATTTTCTCAGTGAGATACCAAATTTATAGGCTAGCTGGCAGTGGAACTCAGAATTTTGCAAACACTTGCAATTGTATGGCCTCACACAATCTGTACATGATAATTATATTTTCATCCATTCCAATCATACTGTCACAGCTCTTCTTGTATATGTGTGACGTGCTCATCACTGGCACATATGACAAAGAATTGCAGAAGGTTAAGTAATTTCTTGATACCACCTTTACCATAAAGGATTTACGATTTGCTGAATATTTTTTGGGGATAGAAATTGCACGTTGCTCAGAAGATCTGTACCTCAACCAAAGGAAATACGCTATGGACATTAACACTAATGTTGGTTTGATGGGGGTCAAAACTTGTGGATATTCCACTGCCAAAAAGTCTTAAATTTACCATTGAGGGTGTCTCATATCAACAACCTGATCAGTATAGAAAACTTATGGGTAGATTACTCTATCTTAATCTTACCAGACCAGATCTGTCTTATGCCATTCAGTAACTTAGTCAATTTGTTAACTCACCAACCGTTTCACACTGGGAATCTGCATTACACTTACTGAAGTACATTAAGGGAACTATGTCAAAAGGACTTTTCTTTCCTTCTTCCAATAATTTCAAGCTTGCAGCCTATTGTGATGCGGATTGGGCCTCTTGTCCAGACTCTAGGAAATCCTTAACTGATTATTGTATCTTCTTGGGTAGAGCTCTTATTTCCTGGAAATCAGAGAAGCAGCATATAGTTTCGCGTAGCTTTGCTGAGGCTCAATATCTAAGCATGACTGCCACTGTTTGTGAAATTCAGTGGATCACATATCTTCTTCAGGATTTTTGCATCGCCCAAAGTCTTCCAATTCCTCTCTGGTGTGACAACCAGGTGGCTCTCCATATCAGTACTAATCTGATTTTTCATGAACATACGAAGCATCTTGAAATAGATTGCCATGTGGTTTGTAATCAATACAAAACTGGGCCCATTCATCCGTAACATGTTTATTCCAACGATCAGGCTGCAGAAATCTT